GTGGGGGTGGGGTTGGGGGGACATGAAATGTCGAAACCATTCATCAAGGGTTGGGTGAGGGTAAAGGAAAGGGTAAATTTATTCTCAAAAGGACAAAACATTTATATCGAGGAGAGGAAAAGAAACTGGTGACATTGTAAAAGCAAATCAGAAATTGCACAGTGAAAAAAGTTTTGCTTTAAATACTACAATATTGAAAAACCATAACAAAATATGTGCAAACACAAAATGACACCAGTGCTGGGAATGCATAAAAAGACCAAACAAAAACAAACCCAAACACATGCATACAAATATGCAAACCACAAAAACCAGGTTTAAAAAATGAAGAGACTTCTCTCCAAGGCAAAACAAACTATAGATACGATTAAATTCTAGAACTGAGAAAATTGAGAAACTATATTCCAGCACTAACAGTGCAGACACAAATCTAATAAAACCAAGATGTCCATTGCTGTGGTTTTTAAGATGAGTTCTACCATAAAACAAATTAATTCACTGGGCATAGTTAAGCTGAGCAAGAGTGGAAAAAAAATCTCTGCCCATTTTACTCCCTAATTTAGGTGTATATAAAGTTGGTTTTGCCAGGGATGTCTCAATAAATACAAAATACAACAAAAAATTGAGTGCAAAAAGAATTGCCATCAAGGGGAGACAAGTGCATGCCAAGGGCAAGGGGAAGCGACTCAGTCAGTCCCACATAAGTTCTTACCAACAACTTGACGACTGCTCGAACGAGCTGACCTTGACCTTGTTAGCTAGACAGTGAGTCATAAAACGACAACTGGTGAGATATTATTTTTTCCTACAGATGAGTGAGAGAGAGAGAGAGGTGGAAATTTGGAAGAGGAAAAAAAAAGCAGTCAAAATGAAAGTTTGCTGAAAGGCCTTGTTCATAAGCAGTGATGATAATACCACTACTACTAATACTTAAGTTAAACAACTACTGTCACAAAAAATAGATGCAAAATGACAACAGCAGCAACATTAACAATAATAAGAAGAAAAAGAACGAAGACAACAAACAAAAAATAACGATGATAGTGATAACAATAGGAACAACAATTATAGATTTAAATAATATTAATAATAATGAAAATGATAATATTAATGATATAATTATGAAAATAAAAATAATAAGAATAGGAATAAGAACAATAAGAGCAATATTGATAATAAAACAATAAAAACAACACAACAACAACAAAAACAACAACAGCAAAAACGAATACAAAAAAATGGACATACAATACATTAACAAAGAGAGACAAAATATATCAAATATGATAATATAAGAACAATCTAAACAAGAACAAAGAGAAAGAAGCAGTGAAAGCATTTAAGTTAAGCAGTTACATTATAATGACATACAAAAAAAGAAAAATGTGATTCAGCAATACGAGAATGTTTTTCCTGTTCCGCTAGTTTTCTTTGACCTCACTGACTAAATCGTCAGACCTGAACAGTTTCCCAACAAACAATCAATACACACACAGTCCATAAGAATTGCCAGTTTTGTTTCCACCAAGTCCAAAGTTAAAAAAAAAAGTGAAAGTCCAAAAAGCGACCGGCTGTAAGTTAGGTGGGTTTTTTTCTTTTTCAAAATCAGAAAGCTACAAAAGAAAATTTGACAGTGTACCCTTCGACTAGAGAACAAAAAAATGCCTTTAATTGGTGCGAATTATCTGTTATAGCAGGATTCACATTATAAGGAACCCAGTAATAAATTCAAGGGCATTAATAAAGTAAGCCTAATCTATGAGTTTGGTGTTCTATTTAATTTTTCTTCACAGCACTATGACCTCTCCATTCCCGCATCGGAGAAGTGAGAGGCATGGTAGGCCTAGATAATCTAGAATAGGCTGGCCTATCAAGGGATGCGTTCTGTTTGTCTGCTTGAAAGCCACACCCTCCCCACTCATTCACTCCAGCCTTCATTGTTGGCCCACGTGGGCTCTTCCTTTCTTTGTTTTGCAAGATCACCAACGAGTTTCTCAACTGGTGTAACGTGTATTGGCCTATGCGCTGTGCACAGAGCAGGAAAATTCCACTATAACCAACTCGCGTGTTAGTCTGATGGCGCTATATCAATATTTTATTCACAAAGATAAAGAAGGAAAAAAAAATCCCTGGGGTTTTAGAATAGTGTCTTTACACTTTACAACAGACCTCTCGTTATTTCAGGACTCGTTAAAAGTGGACACTCCACTGTATACAACATTTACAACTGTTACAATAAATCCGTACAACAAAACCACCCCCCCCTGATGTTTTACCTCTGTCGTGTCTCCCTCCTGGTGATCCGACAGCTGGGAAGCGCCCCTAGGAGTGGCCACTGGACCCGCCTCAGCGGCACCACCACCAGCCCCACCGGCCCGCCCTCGGAACACCAGCGTCTGCTTGTTCAGCCTCACTCCCGACGCGCTGTGTGCCGAGTGGAGGTCGCGGTGCGCGCGGGAACCCGTGGCGTACTCTTCATCCAGCTGGCCGAGATTTGGGGTGCTCTCCCCTGCTAACAGCAAGTCTTTGTCTGACATCTGCATCTCTGAGCGACGTCCAGACTGACCGTTGAGATAGACCCCTGCTGTTCCCGAGTTGAGGCTGGCCTGTCTTTTCAGGCTCCGCGTTCTTGCCTCCTCCTCAATGGTCATCTCTCGTGGTCTGTGATTGGCTACCACTAACCTCGGGCCCGCCGTCAGTTTGAGAGGGTCGGGGGTGTTAACAGTGTACGACAGGTGCTCTCCATTCCTGGAACTACTTCCCTTGCCACCAATCCCCGTGAAAGAGGAAGCTGACGAAGTGTGAGGCTGACCAGTAGTTCGACCTGCCAGATACCCTCCAGGAATACGTTCTTCCGAGTGCTTGGATTTCCCAAGGTCACTGACGAAGGTTGTCCCATGATAGCCAACCTCAAGCTGCATCCGTTGACCTTTGTCTGTCCCCGTTACCGGAGGTCGTGACTTCACATCACCTGCAGCGGCCACACCTCGACTCCTGCGCTGTTTATGCTGATGCTTCTTCTGTTCAAATGTTTAGATCAGTTTAAAATTCTACACTCTACCTAGAGACCCCTTTAAAAAAAAATTCGGCCGACATTGTATCTGTAAGCTTTAAACCTCTCTGAGTAAGCATATTGAATAGCAGTATACTAAACAGTTTCTTGATCTTGGTGTCAAAGAACAAATGTTTGTTAGATTAGAATTTAAAAATAAAACAATGAGCAATTAATCAGTATTGAAACAACAGCATGAAATAAGCAAACAAAATGGTAAATTTCTAAACCAACTGTGAACAAGCAAGACCATGAGAAACAAAAAAAAGAGATTAAAATATCAAGAGACAGAACATAGAATATCACAGAAATGGAAAAACTATTTACATTTCTTACCTCAATGTCTTCTTGTATCTCATAGGTTAGATCTTTGATTTCCTCGTTCGTCTCCTCAATTAACTTTTGAATGTATTCCCTGTGGATAAGACACAAACTCAAATTATGAAAAAACTGGACAGTAAATAAAAATAGCCTGCTGTCAAGCAAGAGGGTCAACATTGTCACTGTTAGCTTTTGTCACTGCATGTAGGAGCATAACTAACAAACCAGAGGTCTTCAGATGTCTCTGCCTTCGACATTCTTCTCTGTCTCCCTTGTATCAGTCCCACCCCTCCTATGTCAACTTTTACAACTTTGCTCTATGCCTTCTCAGGTGATTTTTAATCCTCTTTCCTTGGGGGAAACAATATCCCCCAAAAATCGATGATAAGAATAGTTAGGTAGTACAATGTCAGAGTTTTCACACCAATTCTAGAGCGCTAAAAGCATGAACGATCTAAAAAGCTACTGGCTCAAAATAGCAACATCTTTCTTTTGCTGCTTTTTCTTTCCTCATCCTTACTATCGCCATTTTCCCTCTACATCTTTTGTACGTTTTGTCACTTTTTTGTGAACAGCTATTTCCGGGGTGCCTTGGGAAGCAGACTTAGTGCTGTTGAGTTTAGAGAGGTGAGCAGAGTAAACCTGATTACCCGATTGGACTTCTCTGTTGACATCCACCCCTTGGTGCTCATATGACCTTACGGAGTTGTGAGCGCCAAAAAACCTTACTAAAACAAACAAACAAAGAGAAAAGTGGATGCCTAAACACACTTAACATTTTACTTATGCTTTGTGTCTACCCAGTTACTAACTTCATTGTCGATGGCTTTGTTTGACATAACAACAAGAACCAAAGTGACATGAATTGGTCGCTTTAAGGAAAAGTTGGCTATCCCGAAAAATGCTGTTTTGAGAAAATCGAAGGTAAAGTTTTTGCCCCCTGTTCAGTTTCTTTAAAAAACAAGAAGAGTTTTCTCTATAACCAAACAAATACACACACCAATGAAACCAAACCTCTCCTATAGGTAGGGCAATGCCCACATTTGGTGTAGGTAAAGTTGTCTGGAAACCCCCAGAAATCTGGGTTAGCCCATTTGTCCTTAAAAGTGACCAATTTTCTGCACCCATCTCTTACCCGGCCAGCTGGTTTCCAGTTGTAGGGTCTCCTTCTTCTCCTTTCCGGCTCAGAGACTTCTGCATCTCCTGGACACCGGACACAGCAGTGGTCATCTGTTTGCTGCCCTGGGCAGACTGGACGCGTGGGGTGTGGCTACTCTGCTCATCTGATAAAAGGCAGGATGGTATTTGAAATATTATTAAACAGTGTTATCATTCAAGATAAAATGAATACACAAACAGTCATGTATAACCCATCCCCTAAAAAAGGCATCCTTAACAAAAAACCCCCGCACTAATTGAGCAAGGAAACTGTAACTGAGGTTTAAAGAAATACACAATTTTCATGCTTGTACCAAATAATTACTTTTAGGGTCATTGTTCTTGAGACAAACTTTACAGAGGATAACGGTCAACTGACCACCCATAACGGTCAACTGACCACCCGCAGTAGTTTAGGACAAAAAAACCAACAAACAAACAGGAAAAGAAGTAAAAAAAGCAGTGCACACCAGATAGGTGTCTATTGATCCCACCTGTACCAACCAATATAGGGAAGTGACTGACTGACACGTGTAGTGTGTAAGGCAATAAAATGAAAGACAGAAACAACAGAGGGGGAAAAAATAAAAGCAGGATCCTCCAACTACTTACCCTAAAACAAAGTAATGGACAAGAACAGCAATAACAACATTTGATAAAACCTGACCTGACCATCAATGATTTATTTATAGAGGCACTATTTATAAATATTTATAATATTTTTAATATTTAAATATTTATAAATACAATTTATTATATTTGATAAAACAACATACAATTACAAAGACTGTAACAATTATACTCCCCATCCCCCAAAATTATGAATCTCACAACAAAACAGCAAATCCAACTAAACATACCACAAAAACTACAATGAACATAAAGTGCACAGAGCTTGCAGTCAAGCCGGGATATGCGCTCTATACAAATGCTATTTATTATTAAAATAACAACCCCCCGCCCCCCAAAAAAAAATCAATGAATGTAGTGACAATGAATATGACATAAAAAATAACATAAAAATAACAAAAACAACAGAAGCATTTACCCCTCGTGTCAAAGATGGTTTGTTTACCACCAATCTCAAATTCATCTCCAGTGTCGTCTTCATGCATTCCTGAAAATAACAATATAACATGTGACAATATTGACCAACAAACTGAGAATAAGCAATAATATTTACTAACGATTTTGAAGAAAGCTAATGATAATGATGAATTGAGTTTTACCACAGGTTTACATGATGGCCATCAGATTTTGAATAGGAAAGGAAAGAGCTTATCAATAGATTGACAGTAATAATAGTCAAATCTTTACCCTTGACCTTGAAACTCTGTTTTAGTTTAAGTAAGAGTTTTACAACACTTTCAACACAAAATTATGGTCAGGTCATATAAGCGCGGAAGATAAGAGGTATTACAAGAGAGTAACAAACACAAAAAAAAGAAGGAGGAGAGGAACTTAATACAGACAATAGATGTTTGTTAGGAAAGAAGGAGTAAACCACACCAGAGCAACCACAAACTCTCATTACACTATATCATCATCCTCAAGTGCCAGATCTGAGACAGACATCGGCAATCATGGTTGTCCATTCATTCCTTTGCTCAGATGCTCTCAAGAAAGCTACATTTCCCTGATCTTTCCCTGTTACCCATTTGTTTAGGTTCCCCAATTTGACTGTTCTGGGCCTACCCCTGCCTCATTTGGCTTCAATTTTGCCAGTGAGAGCTAGATGTTCAAGACCCTTAAGTCTATTCGGGTGTCCCCAAAACTGCATTTGTCATTTCCTGATTGTTTTTAACATTGAGCGTCCCACCTGGGCTTCATCAAGCACTACCTCATTTGGTTTCTTTTCTTTCCACAAAGCTCTTAGCAGTCTCCCAAGAAACCACATTTCTATTGCTTCTATTTTAATTTCACTGTCTTTAGTGATTGTCCAGCATTCCCAGCCATATAGAAAGGTTGACAATACATAGCATTTCAGAACTATATAGCACTGTGAAATGGGGACCTCAACCTTTTCGGCTTTTCCGTCCGCTTTTGACTCTATCCCTGTGGGGGCCCCGCCGAGCTGTCTTATCATCTCCACCTGGGGGCAAAATGGAGAAAGGAAAATCGTGAAACCTATACAGAATATCACTCATGCTCTTTTTACAAGTTCTTTTTTTGTCCTTTTCATTGTAAATATTTCATGCCCCCATCAACACATTCAAAATAAATTTGCAGAAGGGCCGCTTCAACAAGATGTCTGTCAAGGCCAACTCGGGCAGAGAGAGATATAATATCCCAGCAGACATCCATCCATTCATCCATCCGTCCATACCTCCTTATACACACACACACACACAAACAAACCCACACACACCTACACACACGCGCACACACAAACACACACAACAACATTACACTAGAAAGAAAACAGATCTGCATCTAAGAGGTTTAATTCAGTAAAATTAAAGTCTCCCCCCCCCCCCCCCCCCCCCTCATGTTTTTATTGCAGTTTCTTGATCCGTGGTATTGATTGTGAGTTCTTAAAAAATATTTAAAGTTCAAATTCTAAATGTTGAAAAAATGGCAAGAAAAGATACATACAGAGGTACCATTGTTTAAAAAAAAGAAAGTCTTTTTCCTCTTTCCTGAAAATGAAATTTCACTTTCCGGGCTGAAAGCACTTGAACAGGCCAAAGAACCATGCTTTCTTCTCACCATCAGCCTAAATATCACAGTTATGAACCTAAGGGGTTTTATAGATGAGTCTTTCTCACATTTGGCCTGAAATATGACAACTCTGAAGCTGAGAACACTTTTCAGATAAGTCTTTCAACTATTGGCCTGTAATAATATGACAGTTCTGGATACTTTCCAGATGAGTCTTTTTCACTTTAGGCCTGAAATATAATAGTTCAGAACTTAAGAGCTCTTTTCAGCTGAATCTCTCTCACCTTCCGCTTGATCCTGGCCTCTGACCTCATCCCCACCAGCGCCATTAATGTCTGGAACCCTAGAGACGCTGAATGTGTTGTAGTTGACGTACTGGGTCTGTGACGGTACCTGGGACTTGGGATGTCCCGAGCTTAGACCTGAGACAGAGAGAAAAAAAAGTAACTGGAGTTAGTGCTGTAGCAGTTAGACAATTTACGGGAAACATGGAGAAGATGTGTGGAAAGGGACATGAGAGAGATGAAGCTAACTTGGAACAAGCTAGGAAGGACGGCCCAGGACAGAGATAATTAGAAAGAGCTTGTATGTGGCCTATACCCTGCCAGAGGTGAAAGGAACTGATGATGAGTTAGACAATTTATTGTTGCACACAGAAGAACCGAGTTTAATTCTCGTTTGGGGGAGAATTTTTATCCAGTATCTCTACCTGTCACAGGGAGCTTGAGGCAGGGGTAGGCCACGGGAAACATGGAGGAGATGAGTGGAAAGGGACATGCGAGAGATGAAGCTGACTTTGAATGAACTTGGAAGAATGGCCCATGACAGAGATAATTAGAAGGAGCTTGTAAGTGGACTAAACTCTGCAGGGGTGAAAGGCATTGATGATGATGATGAGGATCTCCATCTATCAGCTGGGATATGGCATCCCTCTCTGCCCGAGTTGGCCCTGAGAGGTAAGGGTGCAGCCTGCTTTCTAAATGACCTTAATTGTATTGATGAGGGCGTAAAATATTTACAATGAAAAGAAAGAGCAAGAACCTGTAAGGAGAGAACGAGTGATATTCAGTGGGTTTCATGGATGCTCTTAGACCTACATTATCCTGTTCTTCTCTAGTCACCCATCTGTTTAGTACTTTAACCCTTTCTTTACCAGGTAGTTTTCCTCACCTGGACCAGGCCCTATCGGTGACCTACTTTCTGATTCTGCCTACCGTCGGACAAATTAAAGATTTTGAGTTCAATTTTTAATAGTTGATACATGTATTATATATGAAAATAAAGGGGAAATATAAAATGGTCTATCTCAACATGTTGCTAAAAAAATGGTCATTCTTAAGTCTGAGATTTCAGTTTCAATTGTTACCTAGGTAGATAGGCTATGGTTTTGAAGCAGGAAGTGCCAAGCCATGAAACACGTCTCTGGGTAGTGAAAGAGTTAAGTTAAGTTATTCTTGGTTTACTTCCGCCAAAAACAAATGAATGGTGTTGGTGGTCTAGTGATTAGGCTACCTGACCCATAATCCCAAAAGTTTGGAATGTATGATAACCACCTGAGAGAGGAGATGTCTAAGGCCAGGAGAACCGTCAACAAAACCAGACAGGACATAGTCAGAAACAACAAGATCAGAGAAATAGTGGGAACAACATCTGTCTTCCGCTACATCTGAATGCAAACAATCAGGAGGTATGGGCATCTCACACATATAGTATCTAACCAGCTTGCCAGTAAAGCCTACTACAGGAAAGTATCAGGGTACAAAAGCAAGAGGAAGACCAAGAAAGACCCGGATCTAGGGTGTGAAGGATACCCTGAGAACATTCAATATCCCAGCCAGCCAGGCCATCAAACTTGCTAGAGACAGGGAGCTCTTTCTCCCCTCGACGCCCTAGAGGTACAAGAGGACGGATAAAGAAAAGTAAGTAAAGTAAGACCAATAATCAAGACACTGCCGATTCAGGGGTTTGAGGCTCAGCTGAGTCTGATATTGTTTTCTTGAGAAAGGCATATTACTCGAATGTTCCCATTTTGGCTCAGTTCTATTAGAGACAAAATATTAATTCAGAGGTGCTGATGCTTAAATAAACTTTCAGAGTCGCAAGAGCTGTTGAACCTAATCAGTTTCAATTATCACAAACATAATATTACCCCCCGGGCCGGTGCTACTGACTGAAGTGTCTTTAGGCCATTCCCACAGGGTGGACATTAACATCTTGAGTTCTTATGCACAGTAGAAATGTAATTGTAAATGGGCTGCTTCATCAATGTCATAACTGTGTCAGAACTCAACAAAAAACTGCTACTTTTTCTTTTTTAATTCCTACTATCGTCATTTTTCCTTTCCTTTTTTTTGTATGTTTGCCACACTCTTGTGACCCGCTATTTCCTGGGTGCCTCGATAGTTGAAGTAGACTTCGTGTTGTTGAAGCTAAAGAGGAGAGCAGAGTAAGTCTGATTCCCTGTTAAGGACTTCTCTGTTGACATCCACCCCTTGGCGCTCATATGACCTTATGCAGTTGCGAGCGCCGTAAAACTTCTACTAAAACTAAACTAAAAACATAAAATGGAAATCCCCCCCCCCCCCCACCCCGAAAATGCTTGGAAGTATTGAAAAGTACAAATATAATGTCCTTCTGTCTGTGTAAATATGGCGAACTTAGTATTCACCTTTTTTTTCATTCTTTCAATGTTTAGAAATTGAATTTCAGTTAAAAAATTTTGAGGGCATGCACATTGAATAGGAAATTTAGAATGAGCAATAAAGAATGTTATCAAATTTTGGGGTTGGAAGCTTCTAAAAATAAGTGTGCTGATAACAATCATCATCATCATCACCATCATCATCCATCACCATCATCATCACCGACTAAATAATTCCCCTTTTTCTTTTTTACTTTTCTAGCTTGATTTTTTCTTGAAACATAACAATTTGCACTATGTCAATACATTTTTACGTAACCTACAAATATCAGCACCAAAAAATCAGGACACGGGACCAAAAAGGAAAAAAGAAAAATGGGGTTAAAAAAAAGAGCCTGCGTTCACCTTTTCTCGGTGACTCCTTCTCATCAAACGGGTTCGGGTGTGTCTTGATAGGGCTGTTCTTGTCCCTGCTCAGGGCGTCTGTCTGGCGTTGCTGCGCGGCGGACACTTCCAGGAGGTGTGGCTTGTGCCGTCTGTCCAGCGGGTTGATGGAGGCAGGGTGGGCCAGGTGGGCGCGGAGTAGCTCGTCCATGCTGGGGGTGTCGGCTGGTGGGCGGAGACATGAGCAGGGTTATTATGTGACGGGGAGGAGAGGAGGGGGCGGGGTTATGAATGGTTCATGTTAAGGTCTGGGCATGCGTGTGTGTGGGTGTGTGGGCATTTGTGTGTGTGAGAGGGAGAGGGAAGGAGAAAGAGAGAGAGAGAGAGAGAGAGAGAGAGA